TAATTGTCACTTTGTGTAAATGTAAAGTAATGACCCAAGAAGTATGAGTCCTGGTTGGCATGAATAGAAAGAGCAGTTCTGTAGTGGAAAGAACTACAAGGTAAATTGTTGACCAATGACTCTTAGCCTTATAATTTCTTTCCGTCCCTTCATAAGAAACAAGTGCAATTTACACAAGCTTGAAGAACAGTTAATTTAAATCATCTGATTCAACATTCTCTAGCGATTCGCATTAAGCTATGGCGTGATAAGTGAATGATCAGTTTAAGCATAAGAGCATATTCAGAAAATTAGAAAATCCATATACCCAGAGATGTCCCCACCCATAGAGGTCATAGCTTTTCAACTAGATAAGTCAAAACTATTCTTGTAAAAGAAGTATTATCTTGATTTGATTCCGCAATTTAAGTGGATATGTGTTTTGCGAGATTTTATGATAATGTTCAGTCTTTCATTTGCCTGGAATTATCCGTATCTTGTAAACTTAAGCTTATCTGGTCTAGAGACATTTCAGGTTACAAGGCGACCTAAATGTCTAATCCCGAGTCTTTTGTTAATAGTAGCCATGAAAATTGCCATCATCGGTTCGTTGGCTCAATCTATTTTTGGAGCCATCGATAGAAAGCGCGATCCTTAGCATATAGTCAAAACCCATTAATGAAAAGTAAATTTTTATTTTCTTAAGTTGAGTCGAGGATGGCACCCTCTGACGAGGGCGGCTACAATGCCAGCAAAGCGTCTAGAGATTTGCCAACTCAATTATCATATACTGGAAATAAAGTAATACGTTTCCTATTGCATAAAACAAGTGACTCCGAAAAAGGATAATATACAGATACCTGCAAAGAGCTTGATCTACGCGTAGGTTCTTTAGAAGAAGGACATCATCTAACGTAATATATCCATCGCGGATTCGACGAATTCCAGTGGTAAGTGAAGCTGTCCTTAAATGAGCCCCAATATTCGCCGTTAGATCCACAAAAAATTCCTGTGTATCATGCAATGTTTCAACCTCTAAAAAATAAATGGTAGTACTACTACTATTAGTAGTCGAATCACGGCAAAGTATGAAAACATTACAGTAAAATATGCCTACCGTAAGTGAAAAAGGGAGGTTGAAAGACGACACTTTGCAAACGGAGAATTAAAGGCTGTTTTTCCTTTTGCTCACTAGGACCATAAGTAGTTGAATCCATCTGAATATCTCTGTATTTTGATATTTGCTCATAAGAAGGCTCTATCCGATTTGTTTGATCAAAATCCAGCTTTACCAGAGGGTCAGAATTTGTTGATGGCCTCAGCCGATCTAAATGATTTATGGTATGAAAACCAGAAGACAAGGCTTTGTAAGCAGAATAAGTATTAGGTCTGAGGTCGTAATACAGAAGTTTGGACAATTGACTGGAAGCTTCTAATGAAGATAGTACGCGATCCAGCTTAGGGCGTGTGACGTGACCTAAGGAAAATAAGCAAAAAACAGAATATACGCCATGTTGCCCTTAATAGAGTAGATCCTGAGTTAATCCCATTTGTTGACGCTCTTCCAAGCATGCCAGTGACATGATAAACTTTTGGGTGGTTAATCAAGCGGAGGTCATCCACCATGGAATATCCACCATTCAACCCAATTCCATAAACTATAATCAAATACCGAACAAAATTTACTTTGCACTCCGGACGAAAGTTCACCAAGAGGATTTATAGGAGTCAGTGCGAAATCTTTATCAAGAAACCTGGGTCCGAGTACTT